AAAAGACAAAAAAAAAAAAAAAAAAAAAAGAATTGTAACACAGCAAGGTCACTGGCTCAAAGACAGACAGGTTACTGATTGATATGTAAAGATACTGGGAAATTGCTCTAAGAAGAGAATGTTTGCAGGCCAGCCTGTGGCTCACTTGGGAGAGTGTGGTGCTGATAACACCAAAGCCACGGGTTCGGATCCCATATAGGGATGGCCAGTTAGCTCACTGGGTGAGCGTGGTGCTGACAACACCAAGTCAAGGATTAAGATCCCCTTACCGGTCATCTTTTGAAAAAAAAAAAGAATGTTTGCTAAAGTCAAGCTTTTGTTAGTGGATCGACTTAATTGCATGTTGCCAGCTTCTATTGTTAAACTTGTTAAACTGTACTTAGCAAAAACCCCACCTATGTTCTCTTCCTGTAACTTGCTGGTTTGGAGAATAAATGTGGGAAGAAAACCCCAGTTCATTGTTAATTTCCCAAATGGAAGGAATGCCTCTATCTTGAGGGTTCTGGGAGATTAACCCCTTTTTGGGGCTTCTCACTGCTCAGAAGAGATGGGCTTTGAGTAATCTTTGGCGGCTCCAACACCCAGGGGGAAAGGGGTGACAAATCCGTGGGGAAAGCAACAGGTGACACCCCTCAATCTAAATGAGGGCCCAGTGTGTTCCCTATAGCTCCCACCCTCTTCCTTCCTGGCACATCCCACACTCTATAACACCATGTTCATGGGGCCATTCATTTAGGTCTGTCTCCTGACTAGACTGAGTGCTCCTGGACCACTTTGTCCCATCACCTCTCCTCAGTGCTGTAGGCCCCTCGCCTTGCCCACAGGATTCACTGAGTATCTGTGGCTCAAAGTGTCATGTATACATGCATACTATACATACATCCTCCTGTGTATATGTTTATGCAGAGAAAGCAACACAGTGTCTTTTCATTCCCACATACATGTCTCCCCTATTAAATCAGAATTTCTGAGTTTGCTTTTTTCCCATCTCTGCTGATCTACTCATCTTTACCTCTTCCTTTTACCTAATTAACTTCCCTCTTAAAAGCTGGTCTACTCTTAATGGTTCTTCCAGTCTTGGGTAATGGTTTTTCATTTTTCTTCTTCTATTCTGAGAAAGTCATGGTTTCATCCTATGATGAAATAAATCTCCCTTGTTATATTACAATAACTCTTTTGCTTAACTATAAAGTAGTTTTGTTTTTAATGAATGTTTCTACAGTTTTTCCTGAAAGATTATCCAACTCATCAGCCACCTTGCTGTTTAGCAGCAACCTTATATTCCGGGCATTTGGCAGCAGCTGAAGTTATAGTTTTCATTTGTTTGTTACTTGTTTAACGTCTTATCTCCCTCTTCACTCTGACTTGAGGGTAATCCTCCTGAAAGTAGTTACCTCTACACTCCTGTGGGGAGAGGAGCCCCTGATCCATGGTGCTCAATGCTGTGGATGGATGGATTGACTAAATCATCTCATTCACACTCACACCTTCAACTCCAAGCTTAAATCTCCAGCCCTGACTTTTCTCCTGACATCTAGATCTGCCATTTGGACATTACCCCAATGTCTCAAAAGTGCTCCAAGCTTAAAGTTCCTTATTCCAGGACTTGCCATCTTGGCACAAGGTGCCACTGTGCACCCATGCATAAAGCCAGAAACCCTGGAGCACCTGAATCCCTCCAGCTCTCTCCACTCCCTTACCTCCCACTAGCATCCCTCCCCTTTACCTAAATGCTTCATCTCATTGCAACACCTTAGTGTGGTCCCCACCATTCCTGGACTACTACAGTGGCTTCCTAACTGGGCCTTCAGCTACCATTGTTCCCTTCTCTAACTCATTTTTTAAAAATGTTTTGTTTTATTGGTTGTGAATATTCATGGGGTACAAAGCAAATTGCCACCACTTGTGCCTAAGATGTGATGGCCAGATCCGTACTGGCAGCATGTCCATTACCACAAATTGTGACTATACCCCATGTCCCCCACCCAATTATCCCCTCAATTACCCCCGACCTCCCTCCCCATCCCCCTTTCCCCACTCCACTTTGTAACCCTAGTTATGTTCTCTTCCCTTGTAAGTCCAATGCACCACTATGGTCTTTCTTTCCTTTCTTCTTTATCTCTTATCTCCCACTTATGAGAGAGTGCATATACAGTATTTATCCCTCTGTGCTTTGCTTATTTCAATCAACATAAGTTTCTCTAAGCTCATCCATGTTGCTGCAAATGGGAGAATTTCATTCTTTTTTATGGCACAGTAGTATTCCATAGTGTATATATACCACAGTTTCCTTATCCAATCATCCATCGATGGACATATAGGTTGGTTCCATATCTTGGCTACTGTGAACAGAGCTGCAATGAATATGTAACCCATTCTTTATTTTGCTGCCAGAATAATCATTCTAAAATGCAAATCTGAAGTTCCTGCAGAGGCACTGCCATTATGATACAATTCAACATCCTGAGCAGGGCTCACAAGGCTCTTTGAGATTTGGTCTCGGCTTT